TAAAAAAAATACATATATGTCTTGATATATATATATATATATATATATATATATATATATATATATATATATATATATATATATATATATATATATATATATATATATATATATATTGCTCATAATGTCAACAAATAGATACGAACATGATTTGCATTGAAATATTTAAAACAAGTCATATAAAGTCAACTTTGGTGTTTTGAAACATTATTACACTATTTTGGTTCATATACAGAAAACATTGTATCTAAATAAAAAAATATTATAAAAGGATCATGATACAAATTCTTATAATTTTTTTATTGTATATAACGTCAAGAAATGAATATGTATATAATTTGCATTGAAGTGATTTAAAAAAAAATCACTCTCATATATTTATATTTTATAAAATTTATTTTTTATGTGAATTCAAGAATTTATTCCTATGACCCAAATCTTAGTCCATCTAAAAGAAACATGTTGATAGGAGATTTTTCTTGGGGGAATTTTATTTAGAGAGTTTTCATTCTCAGCGGCACTTGAACGCCAGCAAGTTGTAATATCTCAGGTGCTATGCACGTGCAGGGTTTAATATCTTATGGAGCACGGCGGCCAACTTAATCCCGAGGGAGCCGACCTCAGTGTTTAACGTGCCCCAGCGCCGCCGCATTTCTTCCTCACGCGACCCAGAAACCCTAGTGGTCGGAGCGAGATCGAAGGTACTCGTTCGACTTCGCTGCGAAAGATGGAGGAAGAATCGAGGCCGGAGGTCGTGTCACAACCGCCCGCTGTGGCCGACGATTGGAGCAAGGAGGACGACGAGCCGATCGAAGAGGACCGGCCCCCGGCTGTGGCTGACAAGACCGACGATCCGCCGTCACAAGGTTAGATTCCCGTCCCTTGGATGCGGATGGATCTGCTTCGTATGCTGAGATCTGTTTAGATCTGATGATTTTCCATAAGATGGACTTCCTCTGCCGTTTTCTCGGTGGCCTAATGGAATTCCTGCTCTGCCGGATTTGTAGATTTTTTCCTGATTTTTATTTTTTTAATCACGTTACCTTGGTGCAAGATATTCTTTGATTAAATTTGATATTGCGAATTAAGTCCAACAAGTCGTTGAAAATTTTCCGGTGTACAATCGATCTCTTATTTGGGGAGACTGACATCAGTTGTTGATTACCGTCCGTCTTGTAGTATATAGGATTACGAATCACGTGTTTTGGAAGTAAAAACAGATTCATGGTTACACGAACTCGTTTTCTCCCTGGCTTATTTTTCTTACTTGATTACCTTGCTTTGTGTTACTAGAAATAACAGCTTGAACTTTTTTCTTTTCTTAGTAGAGAATTGTCAGTTAGGTTCTGTTGTAGCTCATTGCTACACCACGTTAGCTAATATTAAGCTTAATTGTCCTTAGATCCACAAAAAGAATGGACATTCATATTCCAGTGGGTCAATGGACTTACCTAGTTGACACCATATAATGATCAATAATCTATCTCTTCCATTTGTTTTCTTTCCAATGCTATGGGAAACTTGGGCTTGCTATACCTTCTATTTAGCTTCTGTTTGCTTTATATTGTTAAGCTATAGTTTGTATTATACTCTCGGTTCTTGTGATGCAACAATCAATATTAATGGTTGCCAAGGTAATATGGATTAGTCACAATTAGTTTTGAGACTAATTTGATGGAGTAAAGGAAGTGTTTGGTAACTATAGTATTGATAGCAAAACCGAAATCATATCAAGCATGGGAAACAGAATTTGTTGAACAGATGAATAGTAATAATGTCTTATTTTGATAACATTAGATGTTTTTACTCAATGATATGGATGGAAGGTGTATACTGGGTTGAAATTGAATCTAGTTTGAATAATTTGTTTATGGTCGAACATATCCATCAAGGTATTCGGTTCCTATTTTGTATGATTTTCATCCTTATTCTTGTACTAACTTCATAAGTTTAACATTTCATTGATCAATAATCCTAGTTCTTGGGTTATTTAATTCGATGAGATTAAAAAGAACTGATCCTTAAATAAAGGATTGCTTTATGTGTCTACAGATGAGTTTTAATATGCCATGTTAAGAGTCATTTGATTATGTGATCATAGTTGATTTTTCCCCTGGCTTTTAAATGGTATTTAAAAGTCTAGTAATTTCTAAAATAAAAGAGAAGATTGGTGGTTTATTTATTCGTTTGCAGTATCAGTTTCGATATTGAAAAGTTTGCACCATGTGACTTATTGGCCACTATTGGACACAGTTAAGGTGTGTCTGCCATGTACCATACAGAAGGAGACTCGTGCCTTCTTGTCGTTGTAGGCCATTTTGGACTGTGCTGCATAGCTATAGAAGAATGAGAATAGATGACAGAGAAAAAGATGTTAAGAGGCTGTAAACCTTTGGGCAGCCCAATGTCACAACCAACTATCAAGCCAAAGGTCACAACCCACTATCAAGCCTGCAACGGATCAAGCAAATTATACTTTGACCCTAAATTATGAGATTCATATCTGTTTAAATACATACTGTCGAAGGACTCTTTTATATAGAAACCTCCAAGTGTATCCTGTTATCGTACAAACTCAGTCTTCGATTCTTTCCCTATAAAATAACATTATCTACTATTTAAAGACCATAATTTGCAATCAATTGTATAGAATATAAGAGAGTAGTTATTTAAATAATACTGAGCTTAGAAAATTAAATATATACAACTATATTCATATAAAAATATTTTTATCCCTAGTTAATGAATGGCCGAGAAATGAATTATATTTTTGCCCCCCTCATTGTGGGACATGTGTCTGTTATCTATTTGTCGTTTGGGTTAAGATAGATAATGATATGTGTTAAGTTATGAAAGGCATAGAACAAGCGAGAAATTGTTCAGGGATATTTTTTGCCATTTGTAGGCAATTTTTTTATTACTAGTTAAAGGTTTGTCGAGGAATGAGTCAGATTTTTTACCCTTCTTTGCAGGACACGCATCCGTTATCTATTTGTGATTTGGGTTAAGATAGATGATGTTAACCATTAAGTTGTGCAAGTCATAAAACAAGTGAGAATTTGTTTAGGAATTTCTTTTGCCATTTATTGTAGTATCTCCTTCATCTTATTGTTTTCTTTACTTAATATTTGTCTAATCTAATTTTATTCTGATGGAGACATGGTTTCATTGTTACTCGCAGATCTCAAAGAAGAGATTAATTCAAACCTTCAATCTTTGCAGCTGGAAGCAAGAGGTAAAAAGTTGTTTGCTATTGAATAATTCATGCTCCATATACAAATGGGGCAGTCCATCAAAGAATGTAAAGTTTTTATATTAATTTGGATTTTTTAACCATGATCATATGAATTTTTTTCTTTCTTTTTATGTCTATTATTATAGTGATATAATTGTACTAGTTTTACCAGTGATCTCTGGGTCTTTCTCCTTTTTGCTGAAGTTCAAAATGAGCTTCAAGCCAAAGTTTCTTGTATCTACTATTTTTAATTGCCATCATGTTCTCTTCTTAATTTCAGTGCTTCATATTGTAATTTCAGTGAAGGAAAAGGAGACTGTTACAACTGAGGTACTTGAGGAGCTTGATGAGCTTGATGAGGAGGAAGACAAGAAACGGCACCTAAATGTTGTCTTCATCGGCCATGTCGGTGCGTCAACATATCTTTTTTGGTCTGGTTTTCATAAAGATCATCGACCCATATCATTCTTGCTATCTAAACTGACTGACTTCATTGCTAAACTAGTTTTTCCATACTTCTCATAAAATTAGTAGTCGTATTGATGATTAATTTGGTCACTTGAAATTAGAAAACAATATGATTTTTCTGCAAACTGTAAAAAGAAAGCTGACAATTTTTTGTCTGAAAAAAAATTAGTTGATATTGGAGAATCATGTATTGATATACAAGTTCATGGGGCTATTAAGGATTAATTAAGTTGGTCCATTGGATCCATAATTTTTTGTGATTTATTTTGCAAATTATTCTTTGGAACTTAAATGGAATCACATAACTAGAATTTAGATGAATCTTTTTGATAAATTGTTTTTTCTCTACGCTGAATAATTTACTAGGAAAATTGAGAACCAGGAAATTTTTTGTTATTGATTCAAAGAAAATCTTGTCAGGTATTCTTTTATGTTTCCCTCTCATAATATTCCCATGCAGATGGGCATCAGGCACTTCTTCATGCCAATCTAGACCAGATGGTCCTAGGGGCCTAGGCGAGTAAACAAGGACTGAAGCTTTTTGTATTGCTGACACCATATTGATGCTAAATAGGGGTCAAAGGCCTGATCCCAGCTGGAATAGGACTTCCCAGTCCAATAAGGACTCACAACTGTAATGATGGCTGTTCCTACTCTCTCTTATGAGTCAAGAAAGCTGATATGAACAAAAATATTAATAATATTTTTGTTCTTCAAGTTCTTTTAGTCTAATGTTGTTAGTAGTAAGGATATGTCCTGTGATTCTCCAGCAATACAGCTTTATTCCCTGTGGCTCAATGTCCTTGGGAGACTATTCTCTTTGAATTTGAGAAAACCTAATCGGGGGGAACAAATGCTGACAGTTCAGTATTAGATCAAGGTCCAATTAATGCCTTCATGAACTTTTATGATGGTGACCATCACTGAAGAGACTGTATATCGGAGAAAACTTAATAAAGACTTCTAGTAATGACATGTATATTGTCGAAGCTTTGACAGCCATTTTAAATGGTCACACAAATTCTGTAGCAACTGGAAGGTTTTCTGCTAGTTAGCAATGAAATCCCCAACTATCAAGGATTTTACAATGATGGGTAAGAACTTTAGGGATGTTAGGTGCAATGTGACAACCATGCCATGTGCTACACATGAAGTGGCTGGCAAGAGTTTCATGTCTCAAGTTCCATTAAGGTGTGCTCCTCAATAATGCTGTCATCAATAAATTTGGTGTTCTTTTAGGCAAGGAGTTGGGATAGTACTACTGATCAAGCAACAACTTTAAGGCATGATGATGTTAAGATATGGTTAAGCAATTCTCCATCACAATCTGGAGGTGATCAAGTCAGTGCATCAAATGTGTGTATCCTGTATGATGACCAGTGATTTAAAAAGCGCTAGGCGCCAAAAGGCGCTCGCCCGAGCGAAGCGAGGCGCTAAAATATAAAAATATATAATATAATTAATAATTTCAAATAAATAAAAATTAATAACATTAAAATAAAAATAATATATTATTAATCTATTAACAGAAAATTAATCATTTCAAAATTTAAATAAACTTAATATTAAGAGTATACTGTATACTGAACCTGATGGAGAAACGAGGAAGTAGCGGCGAGCGGCGGCATCGACAGCGGGAAAGGGAAAGGGAGCGGAAGGCACGAGCAGCGGGAGGGCTCGCGGGAGGCACGAGCAGCGGGAGGGCTCGAGGGAGGCGCGAGCAGCGGGAAGGCTCGCGGGAGGGCTCGCAGGAGGCACGAGCAGCGGGAGGGCTCGAGGGAGGCGCGAGCAACGGGAAGGCTCGCGGGAGGCGCAAGCAGCGACAGCGGCAGCGGGAGCAGGAGCGACGAGCAGCAAGATCGCGATCGGGATCGGGATCGGCAGCGGCAGCAGGTTAA